TTTTTCTGTACTTCTTTGCTGTCATCTGGTGACCATCCAGATGTTTACATGTAATAGCTGTAATTTATTTTCTGTATCAGGAGGCCATCTAAAGTGCTTCTTTCTTCATTTACTTAATAATAATTTCTTAAAATCTCAGATGTCCTGTTTATTAGGATTTGCGATTGTTTTACTATTTAACTCTGTACTGTGTTGTTTATAAAATGTAACTCAAATTGTATTGGCTGAAATGTAAAGGTACTTAACTTCATTGGGGGGAATGCTGCCTTTGTTGTAATTACATATTCAGCAAATATCAAGTAGGGGTAAAATGGTTCTGTTTGACAGGATTATGCCTTTATAGAATATATTTCTTGATCCAGAGGTATTCATCCTATAATATCCTCTTAGATTCAGTCCAAGCTGATGAATTAAACTAAGTACAGTGCAGTCTTCCCTTCAGCTTTCACCTTCATGTGTTTTCTGGCTAATAATTATATTGATCAAATACTGACAACAAGCTAGCACTTGGTAGAGCAACCATGAAGGTCTTGGAAAAAATATTCAAATGCCAGGACGTGTCTATATCTACAAAGATCAGAATTGTGGAAGCCATGGTATTCCCTGTGATACTCTATGGAAGCAAAAGTTGGACTTTAAAGAAGCAGGATAGGCAAAGTATTGACATCTTTGAATTTTGGTGTTGGAGAAGACTCCTGAGAATACCATGACTGCAAAGAAAACAAAGAAATGGATCATCAAACAAATCAACCCAGAGTTCTCACTCGAGACACAAATGACCAGGGTCAAGCTATCCTACTCTGGGTACATTATGTGAAGATCCATCTCTCTGGAGAAGGCTTTGATACTGGGAAAGGTGAAAGGAAAGAGGTGGATGGACTCAGTTACAGTGGTGATGAGTGTGCCATTGGAAGACCTGAAATACACAGTTAGGGGCAAATTGTTATGGAGAAATTCTGTCTATGTGGTCGCTAATCTTGTTCTCTTCCCTTCCACATTTTCCACCATTATAGCCTTCTCCAGAGAGATAAGTCTTCGCATAATGTGTCCTAAGTATGATAATCTGAGCCTGGTCATTTGTGTAGCCAGCTCAATAAATGATCCTGACATGTCTCTGTCTGCTTGACAGTCACCCTGGCTAGGCTCAGGTAATCTGGGGCATCTGGTCTCCGATAGCTCAAAGAGCTTTTCTCTTTGGGATAAGAAAAAAAGGGGTGTTTGAGAGTGGAGATATCAGTGCTGGATGTCTCTGAAGTTGCCTCAGTGACTTCAACTACTGATGGGGGGGGGGGG